TTTAATAAAACATCGTATTGAGTAGCAACAGTGATGGCCTATAGAAATAATTAAAAATAACTCAAATTGGATATAACTTGACATTATAAATTTAACAATGCAGTTTCAGTCTAGGACTATATTTCAAGATTGACAAATAATAATTGGTGCGTAGTTTACTTAAACTGGAAATTGTAAAAAATCACACAGAAGTATTTTATTAGGTATTAATAAGATCTGCTTTGATTGAATATGGCTTTTTTTATTTATTTGTATTAAATATTTTTATAATAATAAATATTATTATAATATAGACAAAAATTCAGTCAAATTAAATAATTTTGTTTAAATATTATACTTGAACGAAAGTTAGGTATATTTAGTTTCCGACTTTTGATCTTTTCCTATTAAAAAAAATATATTTCTGTTTTTGTCGGTAAAAATAGTAATTTAAAAAATTTAGGAGAGAAGGCAACGACTTTAATTCTCTTTCTTTTCTTATTCCTTCGTTTAATCTTCCTGTACATACGAAAGGTGGGATTACTAGTGTAATTAATAACTTACAACGCGTTATGTTTAACATTATCTTTGGAAACTATTAAATGTGACGTATCTTAATCGAAGACAGCGACAAGGATCCTCTACATAGAAGTCATAGACGGTCGTGAAGTCTTAAATCGTAGGAAACCAATCACAATCAAACATAAGGAGAATATTCGATTAGAATTGGTCAGTTTCCTACGACTTAAGACTCCACGACCGTCCACGACTTCTATGTAGAGGATTCTTTACACACAAGATTCGTGACAAATTAGTAGAGCAACTCGTACCTTCGCGATTGTCTCAATTCGAGTAGGTCGAGCTTAATCGTCCTCTCTCTCTCTCTCTCTCTCTCTCTCTCTCTCTCTCTCTCTCTCTCTCTCTCTCGTTCTCTTTCCCATCCACGTGTTACTGTTAGTCATCACAGGTGCATCATATGTGTGCGCGGTAGTTGCCGTTAATAAAAAGAACTTGTTCGCGCGAGGTGAATACGCGCTCGTAGTAGTAATGGGTAATTGAGGAGAAGCGCGAGTATACGCATTTATATATGTATGTATAGTTGCGCGCGAGTGCGGTGCGTTAACGGTTCTTCTCTTACACAGATTTCTGCTTTTCATAATATGTGCGCGCGCGGCCGCCCGTTGCTGATGTCGTCCCGTCCATATGGCATCGAACAAAGAAACCGGCAGATCTAAACCGAGTGACAAATGAGTACTTTGGACTGAACAGGTTTCACGTAGCGCGATGTACCAGGTGTTTGAATCTTATAAATCTATACCGAGATTTGATGGATCCCTGCGTGTGTACTTTTTTTTGTCTCACTATAACAGTTGTATGACACGAATCATCTCGTGCTGCTTTCTGCCAAAAATTCATTATTATTCATTGCCGAAATAATGATACGTTATTTTCAATCTTTTATTAAGCACATACATCAGATTAGTGCACTGAGAAAAACGTCTGGTTGAAAATAGACCAGAATATTCGGATTATATTAATTAGAATTCCTGTTATTTCAACTGTACAATGCTGATATATCAGAAACTTTTGATTCGTTTTATTTCAATTCTAGAATTCCAATTAATTCAACCAGACATTTTATTCAATGTATCTAATTTATTAGAGATCTTCTCGTATTTTACAAAATAGAAAATTGACATAGATGAAAACTCTAATTTATATTACATTTTCCAAATTTTCTCATCGCAACACGTTCACTGAGGAAAATGGGTTTGTTGTAAGAACAAAAAAGGAATGAACAAATATGATGGTTTGGTAGGAAAATGGATCGATTAGTTACCATTGCGAATAATTTCGTATTATTTGTTACTATAACGAATAATGCATGATTTACGATATAAATGAAAATAATGAATATTGCTAGCAAATCAGTCTATCAAAAAATAGGTTATTAGGTCTTACATTGCTTCTATTACTAATAATTGGTTAAAATAGCAGACTGACATCAATCACAATAAATTAAAACAATAATTTGTCGTCACTAAATCATTTGTTAAAAAAATACTGGTTAAATTAACAAAATCCTTTCTCTCAGTTTAGTGTGTTTAACTTCAAATCTGTGTGTCCAAACATTTACGTTAACACCGTTTTAACTTCAGTTCTGAGAAATTGCATGTGGTAATATAATTTTCTGTGAAATCTAAATCGAATGTCTAACAGCGCATTTTTAACAAGTGTTTTACGTTTATACAGTGGGGAATAATAATTGATATCGTATATCTAACGCGCGGCGCGTTATTCAGAAGTTCCACTGGGCGGCAAAAGAAATCGTCTAATTAAATTTTATCGACAAAGCGTAAAATTATATGAGGACTCTACCCACCGACTCTATCACCGAGGCATTAAAATTCGCACAAGCGTTGTTTCCTCGAGCGAAACTGAATACACGTACAGCACACGTGCCACATTTGAGGCTCTGCATTGATTTTACTGCGCGCTTCGTTGAAAATTAGGGTCGAATTTGTAATTACGAATAATTGCCGATACTTAAGAGCTTGATAAAATTTACAATATTTATTTCAAAATAACTTTTCAATTTTGAAATTTTCTCCGTTCCTGAAGTAACATGTTTATTTAATTTAACCATCAAAATAAATATATATGTATATACATATTAATGATATAAGATTTCATATATAATACTTTTAGTGCATTTATTGTTCCCAATAATTCTATCTTGGAATTGAGGTATTCTTCAAGCAAATATATATTAACAAAGTGATCGTTGAATTAATTTTTACGGCTACTTAAACAGCACAAATTTCCTTGTAATTAATCTAGGATTTTGCCTTTCGATGTAAATCCACCTTCACAAATTGGCGGTTGAAAATTGCTATTCCAGGCTGATGTTCTCGCTCTGGCGCGTATTTCATAGCGCAAGTGGGTCGTACACGTGACGAAACACAAATCGTGCGATTGCGGAGCAGGATTCGATAAGTCAACCCACACGTGTCGGGTAAGTTACAACGAGGCGAATAAACCAACTAATTTCGAATGTCGCAATAACAACAGGGTCGATAAACTCTATTATCGTTTATTAAAACGCAACAGGAATTTCTGTATTTGGAGAGTGACACTTTCTCCGTTAGATAACAGTCTGTTGAGCGTCGTATTATATATACTACGAGAAAAAAGCCGTACTTTATTAAAAAATTATTAAAAATAAAATTGATATTTGTGTTACTTAAACATTTTAATTCATTTCAATCATTTAATTGCTAATACAAAAATAATAAGTTAATAATCACGTCGCTCGTATAGGATTCTATTAGAAAAT